TTATAATATAAGTAAGTTATAAAAATTAATATTTAAAATTTTATTAAAATTTTTTAAAAACTTATTAAAATTTTAAACAAGTAGACAACTTTGTCTATATTATAATTTAAGGAATAATTGAAAAATGAAAAAGATTTTAACAAAAGAGATGTAAAGTAATAATTAATACAAATGGCAAAAAAATAAACTATTAACAATACCTGTTATTTAATTTTGTAATTCTTACAAATTATTGTAAATAAATCATATTATATAGTTATTAAATTATTGACTGTTATGCAAATGATTATCAAAAAATTTGTATATTTAATATATTAAAAATTAATATACATTATTTTTTTATTTTATAGCTGTGATTCATTTTATAGAGAAACAAAGGGAGAATATAAAAAAATCTCTTAAAAAGAAAGTTTTTTGCCAAAATAAAAGAAGTGGAAGTTTTTTATAAATAAGATTTTTTGTTTATATGTTTTAAATTTTATGATTAATTTCTGTTAATTTATAAATAAGCTATATATCTTATAAATTTCAAAATGTTTTGTTACATACTTTATATTATAAAGTCTATTATATATTACATTACACTATATATAATATAGTTCATTAATTAGTTTCCATAACATTCACCAACTTTATAATAACTGGATCAAATAACGTTTATTATTTATTATCTGGTTGTATAAGAAAACACAAAAGAATTTCTTTTCCTGGTGTAGGAGCACAGAGATAAACATAAATGATACAGAATCCGAGACAAATTTTGTTAAATTTGAAAAATGTTAATAAATGGGTTAAGTTTTATTATTAATCTGAATCCGTAAACCTACTTTTAATGAAACGTGATGTAGTGCATATTTATCTATTCTACACGAAAGTCCACTTTCATTGTTATTAAAATCGATACACTGAATCTCCTCATTTTGTTATTATATTATATCTTTAAAAATTTCTTACAATTTATCAAATTGGAATATTTTCTCAGATGGTGTTAGGCTTGCTAACTCCCCTTCCTACGAAGAAGTTATCTAGTATCGGGATCAGTTGTTGAGCAACGGTGAACGAGAACACCAGTTTAGGCCCAACTACAATTAATTTTGGTGTAACTCCTTTAAAGAATGCTGAAAATCCTGTACAACGCGAAGAAAATAGCATGAATTATATTATACATAATATATATTGTCTTTAATAATGCCAATAAATAACATACCTTCTTTTCGAATCATATTACGAACAATTTGCAAACCACCCTCAGGAGATTCGAACGGCCTATTTTGAATACGAGTTTTGACAATATCAAGTGGTTGTGCTATTGTAATTGAAGCTATAGCCCCACCAGTTGACGCACAGAAATTTTGGAAAAAGGTGGCCTTGGAGTAATCTTTGAGCCCAAAAATATATTCTTTGACAAATGCTGATCCGCCGAACTAAAAATAAGCACATATTACTAAGACACGAATTAAGATTAATGCAGTGATTAAAGAGTGATATGGTAATTACCAGTGCAAAACTGCCGGGAGCATTACGTGCTGCTGTCCAAAGACCCCCTCTATTGATAGTATTCAAAAAATTTTTTTTATTTTAGCTAGGAATGACAGGAAATAAAATCAAGGACAGTAATTACCTGTAAAGCCCAAATCCCTCATCTAAAACAATTCGGAAAATATTTCGTCCCCTCAAACTTTCTGGATTCGTTTGACGTTTAATCTTTAAGGCGTCTAATGGGAGAAGTGCTACTTCTCCAATTCCGATCAGACTAGGCAAATTTCGTAAGTTAGAATAGTTTTGTAAAAAATAAAATTATCATACATGGTTCCCGAATTCTAATTTACCTCCCAGCTGTGGCATGTATTATGGTTTTTCCACTTTTTTCGCCAAACGTTTTATAAAAAGCATCTTTATGGTGAGTGTTAATGTAATCTCTGACATACGGTTGACCTCCATATTTATATATACGTTGTAGAACTTTATAGCCTCCAGCGTATCCTAATCCTGGAAATAAAGATGCGTATTTTCGTATTACTGAAGAAGAATATGCGTCCTACAATTGGGTTTATTAATAGATTTTTTTAATTCATTTCCAAAAATTGTATTTACACGTGATATTCACACAAACCTTGAATATAACTTTGTCAAGATTATTAAATCCTTGAGAAATTGGTGTGCCAGGAACAAAAACCTATTGATATATGACAATTCTGAATAGTTCTGAATACGAATCTAAGTTTACCGAAAGAACTCCGAATAAAATATAATTCCTTACTTTAGTTTGGTTGGTCATTAAACGTTTTGCCACCGTATCAACTGGGTGAAACAAAAACAACTCAAGCAAGCCAGAGGCTCCTGAGCCTATTAGACGGGCAAGACCAGATTCCTTTTTTCCTGAAGTTGGAGGAGACATTGATATTATTCTACGAAAAATTTAAGATACGTGTAGTATATACTTGCATATTTATATCAGTGAGCATCTTTAGATCTTGAATTTCAATTGGTTGAGATTATTGATCAATCAAAAATAGCTGCATGTGATCTATACGATCTCGATTTAAAAACTAGATATCTGATAATTAAAATCTTGATTGATAAACTTTATTTGGCATTACGTATAATATATTCATCATACGATACTTGTTATTATGCACTAAATTAATTATGGTAAAAAGAAATTTTTGATTGTGCACGGGCCAGAATAATACGAGGCGTTATGCCAGATTCGCGACGAATTTTTTTTCTGTTGAAATTGTTTAAATCGCTGATTTATAAAAAATTACATATGTATATAAAAAAAAAGAGAATTATCAAATCTGAATCAAATTTTTTTGATATTTTTATAAGTAATTTTTAAAAAATTTAAAGTATAATAATTATTACTAAAAAAAAAATTATGATATAAATTTTATATCCCTAGAATCAACATTAATAGTTATATATTTTTTTTATTATAGTATCTTACTCTTTCTTTGAAATGGTTAAAAAAAAAAGTTGACAGATTTCAAGTATGGAAGAATTATTGGTTTTTATAAAACTGATAATTTAAAGAAAGCAATTGTAAAAAAAAACAGATATAATAAAATTACAATTTATAATATTATATAAAATTTTATGAATTCAATATTATATGAAATTTTATAAATTTAATAATAATAATAATAATTTTTTTTATAGTGCAACGTGTGCACAGTACGTAATCTTTATTGATACATTTATATATCCAAATAGACACCAAGTGTTTTTACAAATTAATCAGAAATCAGTTGGTACGGGATACCTTTTTATGTTTCTATAGTTAATCTGCAGATTAACATTGCCTAGTACATATATTACTATAAGATTAGCTATGCTAATCACTATTACTCAACTATGCATGTATTTAAACATCTGAAAATATGTTCACATGTCAAGCGGGACTTTCGCAAGGGGGAATCCTATCACTAGTTTAAATTTACCTAAAACCTGTTGGTCCATTATTGCAGGAAGCAAGTCATTATAGAATATTATTATAGAAACTAACTCCAGTATTCCAGTTACTATTATCACTGATCCTTGGGATGTGTCATTAGCATAATGTTACACTATCATTTTTACTACTTGTGAAACTGGTATCCTTGTTTGAATTCTGATTTAATCTTGACAATTCTTATTAGACTAACTTGGTCTTAATAATTTTTGCGTGGATTGTCACCTCCTATAACAAATAATCTTTGCACTTTCAGTTCATTTAAGTTCAGGCGAACACTACTCATGGGATAAATCTTCAAGCTTCAGATTAGAATAGATCTTGCTTAGAGTTAGCATTTTTGTGTTATGTGATGGAATCAGCCGTCACCAGTTTGGGTTAAAATTTTGTGAGCTTATACTGGAATTAAATCAGAAACCTTTTCTTATGCAACTGTCCTTGCTTTAACTTGTTTTCAGCCCATAATTGTCAGAAAGACCAGAGGTCCCATATTCATGCAGCCTAACTAAATTTGAAAGTAGATTGTTGGCTGATTAGGTATAACATAAATTGGAAACCGGTCAACCAATCATAAAGGTAATAAATTTTTATAATCAGATAAGGTTGAACCCTAGACTTTCTCCTGGTAACTTATGAAGCATTACCACTGTGCTATAGACTATATATGTGGCATAAATTATTTTGCTATTGACTCAATTCCCAAAATCCTCAAAAATAATTGTGTCATGACTTAATTATTTATATGTTTT